AACGTGGTGGGTCACGGGTGCCCTGCCCCTGACCTCGCCTGCCCCCGCCTGGGCTTGCTGACCCACACAGGGACTCACTGGGTAACCCCACCGGGGCCAGGGCTGGCCCTCTGCACTGTAACCCACACCCACTCCCACCAGGCCACAGCCTGGGTCACGGAGCAGGGATTCAATGGCTGGCCTGGAGGGTTTTCTGGGGAGCCCCCCTCTTCCGGCTGACCCCAGAGCCCCTGAGTGCACTTTGCCTCAGATGTCGCAGAGCTTGTGTGGGCGGTTGGGCAAACTGAGGCCTGTGCTGTGGCACAGGAGAGAGGGGAAGCTTCGGTGCTCGGGGAGGTGGTGCTGAGAGCAAGCTCTCCCGGCACGGTGCGGGGAAGAATGTTCTGGAGAGCCCGCGTCGGGGCAAGGAGATGGACAGGCAGGCGGGCAGCGCTGAGGCTGCCCCGGATCCAGTCCGTCTGACCTCAGCCTGCAGCCAAGGCAGCCCCTGCGGGAGGGGCCAGGGCCCAGCAAGGGTGACCCGGGAAGGACTGGCCAGACCCAGAACGCGGGGTCTGGGCACCCCAACCCAGCAGCGGCTCATCGTTCCTGAGTCTCTGCGCGTCCGTGTGTCTGTCTCTGCCTGTCTGCAAGTCCGCCTGTGGACAGGACTGCAGGCCCTGGGCTCGTCCCAGAGCCTCATGGACGATGGAGGAGCCCGGCCCGGTGTCCCGGACCCCTGCGCGGTGGTCAGTATAGCCCGGACAGCAGGCCTCTGGTCTGCGCCCTGAGCACGTGGCCCCCGGGAGTGACCTGTGGCGCCCGTGTGTGGCCTGGCGGGGTCCGGGCCCAGCTTCGACACCGCTTGCGCTGGCTGGCCAGCGGGCGGCAGGGCTCCTGCCTCTCTTCACTGTGGCGGGCCTCGCCCACGCCTCCCGCGCGGGGCCGGCCTCCCGTCTAACTCACGCACGGCCAAGCCTGCCTGGTCCCCACTGCCTGGAGCGGGAGGCGGGTGCTGAGGGACGGCCAGGGCTCGTGCTGACAGCGGGCTCCTCCTGCCCACCCGCTCGCCCCTCAGGCCTCTGCACGGAGCTGGGCCTGAGCACGCGGCCGCCCCGTGAGCCACGGAGGTGACTGCAGCGGCAGCCGGTCCTTACGGAGCCATGGACTGACGGTGACACCCCGTCAGCACGACTCCGTGGCCTTGGCTCTGGGCAGGCCGGCTAGAGTCCCGCCCTCAGGCTCTGGCCGAACCTTGAAGGGGCAGAGGAGGGTCCGCCGAGAGCCCAGGGAGCCAGCAGGAGCCCTGTGGAGGCAGCGTTTGAGCAGCAGACGCCAGCTCCCGCTGGGCAGATGGACGCCCGCTCGGCCTCCAGCGGGAAGCGGGGGCGGCCCTGGGCGGGCAGCACAGGCCCCGGGGGGCGGGCGGGGGCCTGGGCTGAGCCCCCATGCCACTCCCACCCGAACCCTCCTGCTGGCTCCGTTGTAAGGACAGAAGCCGGGAGGCCGCCTGGCCTGCGCCCTCAGGCTGCCAACTGGCGACCTCACCCTGGGCGCCCGGCCCCACGCCCGTCTCTCCACCTTCGGCCACCTGCTCCAACCCAGGCACCTTCCTCCTCTCTGTAGCCTCCGACTTTCTGCGGCGCCGCCCAGAGCCGAGGTGAACCGTGTGCGTCACGTTGACTGTCCCAAGCCAGAAGCCCAGCCCCTCCCCCTGCCCCCCGCTCCTGCCTGGCAGGGCCCCCCCAGAGCGGGCAGCCTGGGCTCAGCCCCAGGGGCCCATGGTCACAAGTGGACGTGTGGGGCACAGCCAGGGCAGCACAGCGCCCAGCTCCCCGCCGCCCACGGCCCCACCTGCGGCCCGCCCGGCCCTCGCCCACCGGCCGTTACCCCGCTGTGGGCTCCCAGCCCCCGTCCCCGGCGCTGCCTTGGCCATCTCCGTCCGACATGCTCCAGGTCTGCCCAGCTCTGCCGCGCCGCCGGCCGGCCCAGTGTGCGTCTGAGCGGCCTGTGAGCCCGCCCACGCGGGGCGGTGCCGTGCCCCGTGATCGTGGCACGAGCTGTCAGGCCACTCTGGGTTCACATGTGCCCTCCCATGCCAGGGCCTGGCTGGACTTGCCTTGAGTCAGCTGACGCAGGAACAGGTGAGGCTGTTCGGTTACCTACCCGGAGGGCTGGCAGGGTGTTATCTGGGGAAGAAGGGGCCTGGCCGGCTCCGGGCGCCGCAGGACCCCGGCGGCCCCTGCGGGGACCCTCCGCCTTCCCCTGGCTGAGCAGCCGCAGGAGTTTGGGATGCTGTGTCCCTTGGGTGGCCAAGGGCAAGTTCCTCAGCCCTTGTGAACTGTGCTGGGGTCACCATCGTGCTCTGTGGTCTTGGGACCACGTGGCAAACAGGAGCGGCAAGGACACAGCCTGATCCGAGGTGCTGCCGCTGGCCCGGGGCTGCCCTGCCCACCTACCAGCCCGGACGCACGCGCTCGCGCAGCGGGTGAGGACGCAACACTGCAGCCGCCTCAGCGCGAGTTGGATCCCCCCCGGAGGTGACCCCAGGGCGCAGCGGACCCCTCCTGTCTCCCCGCTCCCCTCAGCCTTGTGTTTCAGTAGAGCTGTCTGCTCTGCTCCCCGCTCTGCCTCTGGTGCTCACTGCCCCCGCATCTCTGGCCTGCACCCCAGCTCTGTGTGCATAAATAGATCTTTTTTTTTTTAAAGGATTTATTTATTTATACAGAACTTGGGTACAGGCCAGAGGTGCAGAGGGTGAGAGACTTCACCAGAGACAGAGCGGGGAGCAGAACAGGCAGATCTATGAGATACACTGCTGAGGGGAGCAGCGGGCGGGTCAGGAGAGGTCTGCCGCGCCACGTGGTCACCTCCGGGGCAGGCGGGGATCGAACTCATGCGGAAGCGGCTTTAGATTCTCAGTGCTGTGCTTCAACCCGCTGCGCCACCAGGGAGGGCCCATAAATAGATCTTTTTAAAAAAGTCCCACATGGGGGGGAGGGACGTGCACTGGACTATGGTGATGGCACATGGGTGATTGGGTGATGGGTGAAGCCCACAGGGATGACAGCTGAGGTGGAAAAATGCACAAAAATATGTAAAAATAAACTATTATAAAATTAAAAAAGAAAAGTCCCACATGGAGCTGTAAGAAACATGATTAGTCCACCGGTGAAGGAAACATGTCCAGCCTCCAGGGCAGCTAGCAAGACGTCAGGCAGAGCAGTGGGCAGCGGCCTGGCGCCCTCTGTGGCCACTGGCGCTGCCACAGAGGGTGGCCTGGACCCAGAGGAGAAGCCCTGGCTTTCTCTCCAAGACGCACAGCGCGGGCGTGGACTGGACTCTGTCTGGCGGTGACCGGAGCCAGAGGAAGTTGCCCACCTGCAGCTGAGTTCCAAGGCCGGCGGGCGCCAGGATAGGAGAACTTTGTGGGGGGCGGGGGGGGCGACTGCGGAAGGCGCAGGGACCCGGGAAGCCTCTGGGCCTCCTCCGTGGCTGACCTGCCTGTAACTGGCCGTGGACGTTAGCCCACATTTCTTGCCCTTAGCCCTCTCCCCTCCCCCTCCTCCTCCCGCTCCCTCCTTCTCTCCTTCCCTCTCCTCTCCCCTGTCCCCCCACCACTGCCCCCCAACATTTTATGGTCTGTAATGTTTCTGACCCCCAGTGGCTGTGTCCTGGCGGCTGAGAAGGACAACAGCACTCTCTGCTGCAGCTTGCGCCCCCACGCAGTCTGCGGTCCCCCAGCGGGGACCCCTGGAGTTGGGGGCGAGTGCGCGAGTGCACCCCCTGCTGCAGGCACCTTGGCGACCGCAGAGGCTGTGGAGCCCCGTGGTGCTGGTGGGTGTCCTGGGGTGCGGCTGGTAGAGAAACGTCGCGGAGACGTGTGTCACCTTCAACCGCGTGACGAGCCCCGCGTGCCGCCCGGGCGCCCCAGGCCTCTCGGCACCTTTTTTAGATTTATTTATTCATACGGAACTGGGGTGCAGGCCAGAGATGCAGAGGGTGAGAGGATTCACCAGGGACAGAGCGGGGAGCAGAACAGGCAGATCGACGAAGTACACTGCTGAGGGGAAGAGCGGGGGAGGGTCAGGAGAGGTCTGCCACGCCATGTGGTCACCTCCGGGGCAGGCGGGGATCGAACTCATGCGGAAGTGGCTTTAGCTTCTCAGTGCAGTGCTTTAACCCGCTGCGCCACCGGGGAGGGCCCTGCCTGCCTTTTACACGCCTTTACTGACACCCATTTGCATCCCTGAAGTTCATCCCTGTAGTGAGTCGACTCGGTGGGTTTCCGCCATGACCACCATTGAGTTCTAGAACGCTCTCCAAGAGAAACTGCACAGCCGCTGGTGGTCCCCACCCCGTGGCTGCGTGCTGCTCCCCGATTGCCTGTCCTGAACCTTCTTGCCAGTGGCTCCGACGTGCCGTGGCCCCGGCTTCTTCTGCGGGGTCCAGCTCAGCGGTGGGCAGCTGCACCCACCTTGTGGCTCAAGCTGCTCAGGGCACCCGGCTGCGGCTGCACCCCACCCACATGGGAACCCTTCCCGGGCCAGCCTGAGGCCTGGCAGACTGGCCAAGAGGCACCACTGTCTCCCGCCCCCTGGGTGCCCAGATGGGCATTCATCCCCACACCCCGCACTCCCCAGGCTGCTGGCTGAGCCCTCGCCAGGTGTCAGAGGCCACCCTCAGTCCTGGGCCACGGGGTCCCCAGGGCGGCTTGAGACAGGTCAGCAGCTCCCACGTGTCCAGAGCCAGAGAATGGCGAACCTGAAGCCTCACAGCAGCATGACAGCCCGTCACCCTGGGCTTCTGTTATTAAGCTTCTTATTGCTGTGGTGCAAACCGCCATTACCACGCCCATCAATCACCTCACCTTCATGGGGTGGGAGCACGCCAGCCTGGCGCAGGAGCCGCCCGAGGCTATGGGGGTGCTGGCCGCTGCCTCACTGTCTGGAACTGAACCCCCATGGCTCCCCGAGGTCCCCACCGCCTGGATAATCTCCCCTTTGTTAGCGCAAAGGCACGGGAACTTAATCTTGGGGTGCTGTCCCTATAAACCTGAGGCCCTGCCCACACTCCTGGGCCAGCACTGCCCACACCTGTGCTGTGCGTAAGAAGTCACTGGCCCACCCACTCTCGGGTGTCAAGGTCAGAGGTCGCCTGCCATTCCTGCCTTTTTGGGAGTCTCTCAGATTTAGGGGGTGATGAATGGAATGTCCTTTTGGGGGCTGTTGCTTTTCATTCCCAATGATTTGCTTCTCCCTATGAGCTTTGGATTTTGAGCTCGTTTTGGGGCTGATGCGAGGAGTCTTGGAGGGCTGGGAACAGGGTGGCTGCAGGCGGGTGTCCGCAAGGGGGCGGCCTAGAACCCAGACAGGCCACGGGATGGCTTCCTGGGTGTTTTTGCCAGAAGTCCCCGGCGTGGTACCCCGCAGCCACAACCACTCTGGATCGTTCACATCTCCATTCTGGTGTCCCAGGGAGATGGGAGACGCCTTTGTAGAAGCCCCTAGCGTCAATCAAACAGCCCAGGAAATGCAAAGCTGTCCGGGAACGTCCTCCCTCCCGGAGCCCAAGTTTCCTCAGCTTTCTCCAGGCCCTGAGTAGTTCTCTCCCCCACTAAAATGCTGCTTTTCTGAGGTCCCAACTTCCTGCCTGGCTGGGGTCTGTCCCTCGCCGTGGGCCTGGGCCCCAGGGGCCTGCCTCCCACTGCTCCCCTTCAGTTTTGGTGCCAAGGAACTTCGTTTATTTTCGTGGGCGCTCAGCCAAGGATTTAAAGGGAGCCCGGGGCCCTCCCTGGTGGCACAGCAGGTGAGGACACAGCCCTGCAGGCTGCCGCAGCCGCTTCAGTGGGAGCTCAATCCCCAGCCAGGGAGGGACCCCCAGGGCGCGGCAGACCTCTCCTGACCTGCCCGCCGCTCCCCTCAGCAGTGGCCTTCGTCGATCTGCCTGTTCTGCTCCCCACTCTGTCTCTGGTGAAGCCTCTTACCGCCCCTGAGAATCTGGTCTGTACCCCAGTTCTGTATGCATAAGTAAATAAATCTTTTTTTAAAAAAGGGGGCGCAGTCTGATTCTTACCCGGCGACTTCACCACGTGCCTGCCCAGCTCTGTGGCTGCCCACCACCGGAGCCTTTGTCCAGGATGACAGACGTTGCAGAAACGATGTGGAAACTCCGCGAGACCCGCCCCTGCCCCCCTTGCCGGGGCCCTGCGTGCTCCCAAATGACCTGGGTCACGAGCTCACTCTCAGGGCCCTCGGCCACCCAGTTCCCGGAGGCTGAGCCAAGGCCCTGCGGGGCGGCTGCCATGGTCTCTCCCTTCCAGGCCAGCGGCGGCAGGGGAGCTGGGCCAGCCCCTCGCCCTCCGGCCAGCCTGCCCCCTGCCCCGACTTGCCTCCTCTGGGCCTGCCTGGCACCGAGTCTGGCGGGAGGCAGGCGGCTCGGGCCTCCCACCGGGGTGCAAAGGCCGCCGTGGCCCAGACTGCAGAACCCCAAGTCGGCCAGACAAAGGGTGACAACAGGGTGAGCAGCCTACGGTGGTCAGGCAGGCCCCGAGAGGCTCCTTCTCAGGGTGACAGCCCTGGGGTGATGCCTCCCCTTGAACAGGGCGCATGTCGGGGAGCCACCGCGACACGCAGGGGCGGTGTTAGCAGCTGGCAGGGCAGCAAGCGGCTCTGGCCATCTCGGGCCCCTCAGTGTGCCACGAGCTTTCCCACGGCACTCCTGGGCCCACACAAGCACAGACCAGGCGTCCACAGGAAGGAGCACCGGGCTTTTATTTCTTTCAGAAAGCCACGACTTACCCGCCAGCCCCCGGCGGGGCAGCCACGTGTACAGGCCTCGGCCATCCTTTCCCCACCGGCCCATCGTGGGTCAGCGAGGGCCAACTGGACCCAAAGGCGCCCCTTGGCGAGCTGCCGGCAGCAGCGCCCGAATGGAAGGACGGGGTGGGCAGGGCGCTGGGGCGCTGGCAGAGCCTGGGGGTGATGGCGGCACTGGCAGCCGTCCATGGCCTCCACTGAGGCTCCGCACGCGAGCCATAGCCTGGGTGCGGGGGTGGGGCTGGCAGAAGCGGCGGGAGCGGGGGCCCCGGGCTGCAGCAAGGTGGGCGGCCCGGCCCGAGCGCGGGGCGGCAGAGAAGCTTCTCTCTGACCACTTTCTATAAAAGTCTCGTGCCCCCTGGCAGACCCAGGGTGAGGCGGGCAAAGCTCGTGAGGGGTGCGAGAGCTGGCCGCTCTGCTGGACCTCCCTCGGGGTGCGGGCTGGACACTCCCCAGACCCGGGGGTCTCAGGCCCCTAGCAACTCGGAGGGAGTCGCGGGCTGAATCCCAAGTTCAAGCTTCAAGTGACCCCGGCAGGCTCCCAGAGGGGCGGGGCGTCCAAAATGGGGGGCGGGCCGCAGTCATTAGACCGCCCGCAAACGTGCGCGCGGTGAAGGCCTGGGCGAGCCCGCGGGCCCTCACTGCTCCTCCGGCCCGTCACCTCCTTGCGCCTGCTCGTAGGGGCAGGGGCGGCGG